ACTTCAGCTGTGGACTCTGGTCCTCGCTGCAAGTGTGCACAGCTGGAAAGAGACTGAAACAGCAAAGTTTGCTTTGTAGCAAGGAAAATTGCAGCAGCAGGGGGTTCCAGACTCAGGAGGAATAAGAAAATGGAAGTGCTAACATGCCGTATGAGCTGTCAATGCTTGAAGAAGGTGGGCGATGAAAAGCAAGAGATCACCTTGCAGCTCTAGGGAGAAACCTTCCATATTGTGCCTGGCAGGCTGTAAACACAGCTTTGGAATAGTTTGTTCTTTATGGATCATGTGTGTGTCACATCGGAGTGTGAGACGAAATTTTTAGATGCTGTGAGTGACTGATGCACAGAGGTTAGTCAGGGAACTCATGAGAGGATGTAATTCTGACTCATGCTCTGAGCAGTGCAGAAAATGGTTTTTAAAACATTATAGAAATACTTGTGTTTAACGTCCCTTGAGGGGCACTTTAAAAAGGCCCCCAAACCCAAATTCTTTCACGTTCCTCCAAAAGAAACAACCACAGCCAACGAATGCTGTAAAAATTGAGGAGGCTTCTTTAAGACAAGTTACTAAAAAGATGGAATCATAAAGGTAAAATGCTTTCAGATGGCATGGAGGCTCTTCAAGCAGGCTTCGTCTTGGAGGATCAGAGCACATGGGTATGAACTAATTGGAAAGACTCAAAATGAACAGTGAATACAGTTGACACAAGTAGACACGAGGGTGAGAGAGGATAGGGGATACTTCAAGCAAAGCTTGAAGTTTTATTAGATGAGAAAAATGCAAAGAACAAACTTGAAGTGTAAAAGCACCGTAGCGTTGAGCAGAAGGACTTGCTGGGTGTTTGGCTCAAAGTCAAATGTTAAAGAATGCTTTTCCCTCCCAAAACAGCAAGTACAGGAGGTGAGCCAGAGAGTCTGTAAGACCAGGAGATGATTCAGGAGAATTTCTTATGAAGGGCTATGAGAAGGTAGGGCCACGGCAGAAAAATAAATTGTTTTGCAGATGTGTCTGTTGTGGAGGAATGTTTAGAGGCTTCCAAACGCCAGGCTGCTTCAGTCTGCATTTAAAGGATGATTTGGCTTCTGTTGATGAGTTAATACCACAATCATGTTATTTGTCAATAAAACACAGGAAGGAGTCATTAGAGGTTATGTGGTCTTCATTCAAGAGTTCTAAAGGATGAAGTAGGTAAGCCATGAGCTGCAGAATGTGATCTTTAAAAAGGCTTTGATTTCAGAGGAAAAAGAAATCTGTACTTTTTTTTTTTATGGAGATCCCAATGAATGAGATAACACAGCACTTCCTCTTCTCTTTCTCGCAGTGCTTTCTGTTATCCTTGAGCTCTCTACATCAGAGCAGAGCCTTCCATGTGGCTTTTCTTCAAGTCAGCTCTAGGTTCAGGACACCGTGAGCCCAAGTCCTTGTGGCAGCATGCCTGGCAGGAGTCATCATGGCACTCTTTGTTTGAGAGCTCAGGATTGTTCTGTAGAAACTACAAGAACAAGTTTTTTTCCTGGATAACTCATTCTCTTTGATGACCAGGGAGGAGGAAGCTGTGGTCAGTTAGTTGATGGGATCAGATCAGCTCATGATGTTCGTGTGTGCATTAAAGTCCTGTCTTCTCGCAGCTTGCTTGATATTGTGCATTATGTTCTGTAGGCAACAGTTTGCTGCCTGTCAACAAAACAGTCTTGAAGTTAAAGTATCATTGAATAATTTAGGCTGGAAAGGGTCTTGGTAGGTCATCCGGTTCATCCCCACTTGAAAGCAGGCTGAACTTCGGTTAGATCTGTTTCTTCAGAACAGCATGCAGTCACGTTCTTGAACCTCTCTGAGGGTGGAGATTCAGTATTTTTCTGGGCCCTTTGCCTCTGTAGACAGCAGTAAGATCTCCCATTGCAGTCATAGAACATCTAGAGTAGGAAGGAGCCCACAGGGATCAGTTAGTCCAACCCCTGGCCCGACTCAGGACGACCCAAACTCAGTCTGAGAGCAGCATCCAAATACTGTGAGCTCCGGGAGGTCAGGACTCACAGTAATACAGCTCAGGATGTGGTTGGTTGGAATACTTCCTTATTGTGCAGTTTAATCATGTTCTGTTAGCTCCCCCACCCTACTCTCCCCCATATCCCTTGGCTTTGCTGAGTCTCGAGGCCGTAGGTTTGGAACCTGTAATCTGCTGTCTTTACCTCGTGGCTGTGTTTCTGCAAGTGTTTTTCTTAACCCTGGTCTTTTATCAGTGAGGTTAATAGTCTATGTGGTGATTTTCTTTTTATAGCAAGATAATTTCTTTAAGATCTTCTGGTGAAGGACCTTAACCAAAACATCTCTGGGTTCCAGCAGTGGTATTTTGCCTGTGGTGCCACTTAGTTTTTTCCCATGTTCAGTGGTAGTTGTTGGTGCTAGAAAGTCCAACTGCTGCCTTGAGTAGAAGGGTTCTCAAATAGGGAAATGGACACCAGCGATTGATCTCGATTAATAAAAGATGTGATCATTTGCTGATACTTTTCATCAGGACGTTGACTAGCTGCTGTTGTCTTAGATGATAATTGCCACTGTGCTGTCCTTCATATCACTGTTTAATTGCATTTTTAAAGGAACTGCCTGGACTTCATAGACCAAAGAGCAAGCAGTGTCTTCCCAGTTGGACTCTGTGGCACAAAGGTACTAGCAGTTATGGTATCCCTCCTCAGATTTACAGTTTTTATCTGTTTACACTGAGTTGCTGAGGAGCAGCTAGTTTGGAGAGGAGGTGCTTTCATCTTTGCAGTTCTTTGGAAATTTAGGCTTTGAAATGAACTCCCAGAGGTCTCAGCTTGTCACTGTCTGGATCACGTAGTTCTTGAAGCAATACTGGTCTTTGCCATTGAGCTTTCTACTTCAGGACATATTATAGGCTATTTAGAGTTTAGTTTTGTAACTAAACTTTCACCTGTCTTAAGAGCAGTGCAAACCCTAAAGTACTCAGAGCATTTGATCCTCCATGCTCTGTGTCCAAGCTCCACTGTGAGCATCCAGTGTTCTGTTGAACGAGCAGAGTGTTCTGAGCTCTTCTTTTTGTAGACAGGCAGTGGGCTTTTAGCACTTCCACAGAGAACATCAGATTTGCTATGTGATTATGGATAACCAAGGTATTTTGGAAACCCTCACAAATCTCTTTTTATCCTTCCTAATGAGAAATGGGAGATTCAGCCAAACGTCCTGGATTCTGTCCTCTGAAACTGGAGAGTTTCCAAGATAAATTTGTTTGACCTAAATGTTGTCAGGAAGTTCAAACCTTTTGCTCCTGAACTGGCTGCTGCCAAAGCCCTTGGGGAATTTTTCTAGATTCAGTGGCCCTCTCGTTATTTCCTTTATCAAAAGCTAACACTTTCCTGGTGCTTGTGTAATTACGTAGTTTTCTACATGCTTAGAGCTAGAGGACCTGGGTTGGTGTTTCTTGGTTGTAGTTGGGTGCTGCCGTGGCCCTATTTGTCAAAGTTCAATCCAAATATGCAATTCCAGCCATGGATTCTCCTTATTGAAAGATGACCATGTGTCAGTCTGCTCTGAAGATAACCCAGGTTGGACAGGGGATCAGCTAAAAGAAAGGGTGAACCATAGGGTAATTAGCAACTGGGTGATCAGGGTTTGTAACTGAAGGGGGATGGGTACTATGAGATGCCTGGAAGGCACCACGTTCACAAAGCATCTGAATGATGTGTGGGGTGGTGGTGGTGGTCCCTGTGATGGTGAAAGGTGGTGAAGGGCAACAAAACCTGAACTAAATCTTCCTCAAGTGGAATTTATTCCGTCTGTGATGGTGACTGGTGAGTGATCTCCTGGTTGTTATTTTGATCCATGAGTTTTTAATCCTCTCCCTGTGTCTTACTGAGGAGAGAGTGGCTGGGTGGGAGTTTTGGGGCCAATCAGGGCAATAGTGGAGACAGTGAAGGCAAGAATGGAAAGTGGTTACTGCATGGGACTCAACCCACAGGCCTTGAAGAAATCATAGAACCATTAAGGTTGGAAAGACCAATAAAATCAAGTAGTCCAACCATCAACCTGTGCCTGTGACCGCTGAGGTCACTTTGGGGCACAAATCAGGAATAGTATTTTTAGACGTGGTTAATATTTTATGGAGCAGGTAAACCAGTGGAAGAAAGAAAGCTGGTGCTACGAAAGAAGAGTAGGACACTGGCTGTAACCTATTTAGATTTATAACTTTATGTGAACAAGAGCCACGCAGTCAGCTGTTAATTTCAGACTCAGTAACCTAAAAACGTGAAGCTCGTTAAAGATAAGCTGAGCAGGGCAGCTGTTTCTGTGGCTCCAGGGCATATTAAGAGAATTACAGATCGTGCAAATTAACAGAAATAGAAGAAACAAAATGGGTACGTGCATAAATATTACCTACTGGGGAGGGAGCCTTGGAGAAAGGCTGTGCCTCACAAACCTGTTGAATGCATAGGTAGGTTAAGATTAGGCTGATTGCATTTGCAAACACTGTTTGACCAGGTTCAGCCCCTGTAAGGAAGGTAATGGAAATAGGGGATAATGTTGCGTGTCTGGATGGTTAGATTAGTTAACAGGTAGGAAATGGGGCAGAGGAGTGAATGGCCTCTGCTTCCTCTCATCCCCATGGCTGAGGATGCTCTGCAGAGATGTGCACTAAGCCTGTGGTGTTTACTACCTTAATGAATAACCTGGAAGTGAAATTAATAGTGAGATGATGATTTTTGCTGATGGTATGAAACTAGCAATAGTCGTAAAAACAAAGGCTCATTCAGAAGAGCTGTGGACTGATCTGAGAGTACCGGGTAACTGGACAGTGAAATGAAAGATGTGGTTTGGGTTGGATGGGTAGAAAATGGCTTTCTTGTGGGGAATAACAATCAACAGTCAACAATCTTACCTTAATTTATTTGCTTATGTTGTTTCTCCCCCAAGCTGTGGGAAATCTTGTGTCTTGGCCTTTCTGAGCTTGACTGATGCTGTACTTTTTATTCTTTTTTTGGAAGGTATATGGGAATAGGACTTTCTGCTCAAGGTGTCAACATGAACAGGCTTCCTGGTAAGTCGCTATCAAGGTGTTTTTTTAGCTTACAGTCTGTGTTAAATGTTCATTTAAAATAATTCATATGTATGAATTGATGAATGTGTGTTTCTGTTAATAAAATGCCATGATTAAGTGTCTTATATCTGGGAGTTTCTTGTCATAGTGACTCCTATCTTCTTTCCATCCTCCAACCAAAAGGCTTTAAATACATGACAGAGTGCTATGACCAGATAACATTGTTGCTTCCTTTTTTTTCTTAATATTTTTAGTTTAGCCTCCAGGTTGTTAAATTTTTAAAAAAATTACAATATTAGTTTATCATTTTCAGGTAATAAATTGCATGCTGTTTATTTCTACGTTGGGATCAATGCCGTAACTTCTGTGGTAGGAATTCTTTCAGTTGGGTTTGAAACTGAGAGCTTTCTATGTTTGTTAGAAAGTGAATATTCTTCAGGTGCCAGAATGAATGGCAGATGGTTCCCAGTGTTGTTGTAGCATTGGAGCAAAATGCCTGGCTGTTCTGTTAGCAAAATAAGTGATTTTGCAGCTCTGTTACAGATCTCTGAAATGTTTCTGTAAGCTGAGTTTCTACGGAGACTGCAGGTGAGGGAAAGGACACAAAGGTGATGGAATCCTTGGGTGGTTTCAGAGAGTAGCCAGTTTTCTGGTGCATGCTGTTTCAATTGTAAATCTGCTGCTGTAGTGGGTAATGAAATGACTGCTTTGTCTATCTTGAGAGTCTGCTTTTGGCCACTGCCAGAGATGAGCCTAAATTGCTGCTGGTCTGCGATGGCCACAGCCATCCTTTGTTTCTTCTCTCTGGTAATTTCTGACCTGCACACAGAGGTTGTTTAGCCTTCAGCCTTGGAGATATTTAGGCCTCAGATGGACGTGGTCTCATCCAACCCGATTGAGTTAGACCTGCTTTGAGCAGGAATTGAACCAGGTGACTTCTGAGGGTCCCTTCCCTTAAGTTATTCCATGCTTTTATGATAACTCAATTTTTGGGAGAACAGTTTCAGTGAATCCCATGCTGCTTTGAAGAATTTGTGTCATACTGCAAACTGTATTTGCTAACAGTTTGTATCAGATGCTCAGTATATGCCATTGGAGGGAGAATAGAGTCACAAGTCTTTATTCCTTCAGAACTTGACCAGGGAAGGAGGAAGTCTGGACACTTCCAGTTTCCTCGAGTGATGCTTGGTTGCAAATAAGTAGGGAAGATGATCAAGATGATCCTGCATCAACAGGTATAGATTTCTCAGTTTTCAGGCTCCTGTCTGTCTCCTCCCCAGTCCTCCCAGCCAAGTAAGCTGTGAGCATGTATAGGATGAAGCATGAGTTTTCTCGTCCCAGTGTTGAGATGCTTGGCTGCTTGAGAGAGGAGTTATTTGGCTTTGAAGGATACAAGTTCTGTTCAAGATGTGGCTCCTAGCTTGCACCTTGGAAGGATGGATGGTGTTGCCTTGTGTGTGGCCTGTAGGTTGCTCATTGGGCTCTGGCTCTCTTTTTCCTAGGATTATTACAGTTGATATAAAACCCTTAGAGACTAACCTGAGGAGATGCATCCTGGGTGCTATGCTGTGTTGTCCTGAAACTGAACTTTTTGAACAGCTCTGCCAACATCTGTTTTGATTTGTTTCCCTTCAAGGACTCAAAATTGACCAAAGCAATGCTGATAACAACCTTAAAATCTAAGAGCCACAAGAGCAGGTTTTTGTGGCTTGTTTAACTCAAAGTGCCTGTGAACTACTATTAATTCTAGAGCATATGTAATGAATGTGGAATACAGAATTCTTTTGTTTGAGTAGGAGGAAAAAAAAAAAAGGAACGTGAAGGGAACTTGAGACTTCAGATAGTGCTTATTTAGCAGTGAACTGTACAAATTTGATCCTCCGAACCTGTTATTTGTTTTAACACTTGAAGATTAGGTTGCCAGGAGGGATCCTGCAAGTTAGATCAGTCTCCTACCATCTGTATGAAATGGAATGAATGCGTGGTTCTGCAGCTCAGTAATTGTCTTCCTGGCTTTGGGAGAATGAGCCTTATTTCATTTTTACAGTATATTGCTCAAATAACTGAAGTTAGAAATGTGTGATGCTTAGCTGTTGTCAGGATCTTTATAGACAGAGTAAGAAAGAGCTCATAAAGAACTGATAGGTTTGGAGTCTTGGCTTGGCTTTGTGTCAAAGCGTGATTTTAACTTTTTGTGACCAAAAACCCTACCAAGTTTGTCTCCTTAGACTTTCTTAATTCACTTCTGCTTTAACAGATTAACTTTCTCTAAGTAGAACATGACTATTACACGGTTCAGGAGCCCAGAACCTGGTATGGAAATTGGTCCTGGCTTCTGGCTCAAAACTCCCCTTCCTGAAAACAAACACTTGGGCCATATCAGGTTCCAATTCAGGACATGTGTGCATTATGCCAAGTTTATTTTGTCTTCAGCCCAACTGGGTGCTAATGGGGGTAGCATTGGGCTGAGAGTTGGAAGTGTGGCCAGGGCGAGGCAAACATTCCCTTCAGCTACCCATCATTGGAAACGGGCTGCTTTTAAAAGGTGTCCATCCTCTCCCTGCTGCCCTCCAAGGTTTCTGTAGGCTCTGCTTTGAAATTCAGTCATCAGGTTGGAAATGTGGCTTTTTTCATTTGCGCTCAGCACTTTGGTATCTGAGGATGCAATTTCACTTTGGAGCTGGACTGATCTAGCTCACTGTCATCAAAGCAGGGCAGCCCCATACTGTCTCCTCCATACCCCCAGCTGCATAGTCCTCCTTCCCCTTGAACAAGCCCTCTGGCACTTGGCACATCCTTTGCCCAATCAATGCTGCTGCCAGGCATGGCAGGACTCCACTTTTCTGCTAGGTTGGGCTTCTTACAGGCTGGCTCCTTCAGAATTCATTATGGATTACAGAATCATTATGGCTGGAAAAGACCCCTCAAATCTTGAAACACAACCCCAACCCATCCCACCATGTCCATCACCCACATCCCCAGGGCTCTGGGAACCTCCAGGGATGGGGACTCTTCCTGGGCAGCTGCTTCACAGCTCTGCTCAGTAATTGCCTTGCCTTGCTGTGCACTATTGCACTTGTTGATTGCGGTGCTGCTCACCACTGCTTTGTTTTATGAAACCTTTTGATTATTTTTTTTTACCATACTTGTATAATTGAAAGATGCTGCTTGGCTTATTCACTACTTGTTTGATTCAGACTCCCTGTTAGAAGAACAGGCTTTCAAATTCGAGGGTGTTTAATAGACTTGAGTTGGTGTGCAGTCAAAACAGCACAATTTGGAGTGCAGAGGCTTGCTTTGTACTAGATTTGGTTTCTGGGATTGTAATGCCTTAAGCCAGATCAGCAACAACCGAAGCAGTTTGTCCAGCTGTCCTGTGCCATTGTTCAGCAAAATAAATGCCCTCTCCATCACTTCACCTCCATAAGCCACCAACCTGACGGGTGGGCTGTCCATCTGGATTTCATTTGGAGATCGTTTGCTTTGCATTCCTCCCTTGCCAATAGGTTTCTCTTGATGTTTGTAGGCAGGACTTTTTATTTCTTCTCAGATTGTCTCGCTTGTTAACAGAGAAAATGAAGCAGGGGAATGAAGCATTGGAGGAGCCTGTTGTCTTTCTGTTCCTTCCTATGAGATGAAAGAAGTGTCGGCTTCTTCCCCAGGGCGATTGGCAAAGGTTTTTCATGCAGGTGTGCTCTCTTCAGAAGGGAGAGGCTGGGCAAATTGTGCTGTAGGAACTGGCAAGAAGTTGGAACTGGGCTTTCTGAGCTTGAGAAGGGATCCAGTAGCAGCCTTTCACTCCCTGTAAGGACCCTGAAGATAACGCAGCCCTAGGCTGTTCTTGGGAAGGAAGGGAGGCAATGGGCACCAGCTGCAGGAAAGGAAACTGTTGTGGGAAATAAAGAAGGTACTGTTCCTTGTCAGAGTTGGGTGCAGATTACCATAGAGGCTCCACCGTGGAGATTTTCAAACCTCATCAGGACAGTGCTCTAATGGTCTAATTTGACAATTGTGCCTGCTATCAGCAGGAGGTTTGGCTAGAGAGCTCCAGAGGTTCCTTCTTGGTATTTTTTTCCTTGGGGTTGTCATCCCATCTGAGCTTTTCAATGTGTCCTAGAGAACCTGTGGTTTTTTTTTTAATTAGCTTTCGCTTTGGGTCCTTGCTTCCTGTGACAAATGAAGGATGTGTGCAAAAGGGCACAAATCCCAGTGGTAAGTGGAGTAATTATAGAAGATGGGACCTCACCACGTCTTTTGATAAGAAGCTAATTCAGTTAGACATCAGTCCTGCCTGACAGCTGCATGTCTACACCAGTCTTTCAGTACTTTCCTGGCAACCTCCTCCAATGCCATCCTTGTGTTGGAGAGCCTTTCCTGATGACTGCATTAAATATCCTGTGTGGTTAGAAGTCCCTTGCTCTTCGCTCACGTGTGGAGGTGGAGAACAGTTAATTTCTTACACCTTTGTAGGCGTGTGCCTGGACACCTCTGTCACCGCTTTGTGGGTTTTTCTCTAGATGAAGCATCTGTGGCTCTTTGCCTTGTCCCTATTTGTCGTGTTCTCTTGATTTGCAGCAGCTGTTTTTATCTTTTATTAACTCTGCATACACCAAGCAGTCCTTGTCCTTACAGTAAAGGAAAATGTTAAAATTCAGAGCAAGACTAGGAAGCATCTCTTAACCCGTGCTGCAAACAAGACAACGGAAAACGCTTGCTATGCTTTCACAGTCTCTAAGGCTTAAGCAGAAAATGGGGAAGGGGACAGGAAAGGCCTGGTGGTTACATGGGGTGAGAAGGACCCTGCCTCTTGGCTTCTGGAGCAACCAGCCAAAGCCTGAAAGTGTGGGGTTAAATACATGACTGCTTTATGGCAAACAAATAGTGATTCAGTGTGCTTTCAAATCCTCTTGGCTAAGCCAGCATTTTGGATACCCAGCTTGATTTTTCTAAGTAATTTCTGTTAAGTTTATTTAAGGATTTATGCAGCTGATCAAGCAATG